TCCTCCCTCTTGCCCATCGGGATGCCTGGGCTCGGAGTTCCCGGCCTCAGGACCGGCTGGAGCCTGGCGCGGCGCGCGCGCGGATGCCACCTCGGCGAGTCGTTGGGCTCCTCCTCCTTCCAGTTCACACTGCGGGGCACGGTGAGCTCCGATTGAAAGCGCTTGGCGCAGGGTGTGGTGCACAATAAACCCTAGGACAGCTCGTAACAGTGACGCAATTGCCAGGCTTCTGCATAAGAATGCATAATTTTGGAAAAGACTGCGTTTCCAAGCTCCAGCGGTTTCTGAATCAGCGCGCGATGTCATTCCCGGCATCACCGGAAGTGCCCTTCTCTCGGCACCTTCTGCCCTGCGATGCCAGCCTGGGTGGTTTCGGCCTGAGAACCTTTCTCCCGGCCTGGCTACCCGTCTGGGACCCAGGGCCCTTGACAGATGCTCTATTATCTTAAAAAACAAATGAGAACCAGAAAAGAGCCAAATGCAGACTGAATTCCATTCCAGGTTTTGCCTTTGAAATTCATGGGCTTTTGTAGGAATTGGAGCCTTGGCAGAGCCCTGGGAGGAGGAGGGGAAGCTGGTTCCGGGCTGCATCTGGGTGTGCGCTCTGGCTTTTTTTTTTTTTTTTCTGCATCTACTTCTTTCTTTTTCTCTCCTTTTTTCCCCCCTCCATCCTCATCGCATTCCATGCAAGGACAGTGACATTCCTTGATTCAATATTTCATGTTACTCCACTGTACCAGCTACCTAGCTGGCTGTCTTCTCCGCAGGAAACGAGCCGCGGGGCACTTGGGTCACAGCAGAGAAAGCGGGAAGGCTGCAAGTCAGCCATTGGGTGGTTTTCAAACTGTCTTCCCCGGAATCCTAGGGCCCGGGAATCATGGAGAAGAAGCGCAGCTGCACCTCAAACTTCTACACACGGTATTGGTGCTTCTCCCTAGGAATGTGGGACTCACATTCATTTTTAAAAGGAAAAAGAAAAACCACAACTATAACTCACTCCTTTTCGTTAGAGAAAGAAAGCCGACCAGGGAGAAGGTGACTCCTGTAGGTGACAGACAGTGCTGTGCTCTTTCCACAGAGACCAGGAGTCTCTTCAGGACAGCTCCCAGCCCACCATGCACTGGGAGCCAGTGGGCCCTCTCCACCATCACCCCTGCCTGCCTGTTCTGCCGTGGGCTGTTGCCACTGGGGACCAGGCTGGCACTCGGTGGGGACTGTGAGGCTCAGTGTTGCTCTCCCTAACTTTGTCTTTGTGTCCCATGGGACAGATGAGTGACCGTGCACTGGAGATGTCTGGGACACAGTCTTCAGCATGAAAGCAGCTGTCTTCAACTGCCAGTAGGTCCCTGTGGGCCCCAGGATCCCCAGGGCCACAGTCACTGGCCACACAGGGTATGCAGCTCAGAATCCTCGCTTTGGCGTGGGTACCCTGAGGCATGTGCTCTTCCCAGCCCTGAGCTTCCTGCTCACTTAGGCCTCCTTTGTTAACCACTCCTGGTTGTCATGACTTTTTGGAAAATCTATAGAAAGATTTGGGGGGCTAATGTGCCAACAATTATTTCTTAGTATCCAACAAATTCTATTACCATAAAAGTCTACTACCAAAAATGCAGGAGAACAGAAAAGGAGAGATTTTCCTAAGATGGGGCTCAGTGACATGACTTGCTGGTGACCTGGTTGCCTCCTGTCCCATGTCCTCCAAGGTGAGGCTAATTGGCCAGCTGGGACAAGCCCTTTTGGTGCCACTCAGGAGTTTGGGGAGGCCATCAGCCCATTCTGCTTCTGCCAACCCCTGCCATGTCCCGGATCCCCAGGGACAGGCTGTGGCAAAGTCACAGCTGTTCATCATTTAGAAAAGGAAGTGCGTTCTACGAATTTAAGGTAACAAAGCCCTGTGGCCAGCACTTCCCGACCAGAAGGGAGCAGGACAGGGACTGTAATGTCACCAACAATGGTGGTGGAGACCAGGCCATGGGCTGCAGAGCTGCTGGGGAGTGAACATTTTAGAACCCAAACCTGGCATCACTGAGAAATGCAGTGGCTTTTCACCCAGCAATCTCTGTGAGAACGTTTGGATCCCATCTTTAAAGAAATCAGAATAACAAAATAGACAACCTTTCAGTCTGATTTCTTCTTTGGAGAAAAGGAAATTCTTTTGACCATCAAAGCTCCATGATAACCGTAAAGCCTGTGCCCAGGAGCTTGGTTGTGTCATGATCTCTGGTGGTGGGGCCTCAGGGAAGGCGACTGAGTTCTTGGGGACAGCCTCGGAAGTGACTGGTGTCCTCTTCATGGATTTGCTGTGCCCCACGTGCACAGCAAGCCTGGTCTGAGCTGCCCATGGGAGCCTGCTGTGTGAGGTCCCTTTCTCCACCATGCTATGGCACAGCCAGGGTCCCTTGTAGTGCGGACTCCAGCACCAGCCCGTGCTCCTTAGCGAAGTACTCACCTCAGGTATTTTGCTGTGGCAGCAGGGAAGAGCATAAGCCAGCGCCCACCTGTGATGCAGGCAGGAGCACTGTGGGGCATCAGGAAAGGGACCAGAGGGATGCCTGGGCTCAAAGTGACGGTCACTTGCTGCCCAGCATTTTGCTGACGAAAACACCAATGACCGCTACTCAACCCCTGGAGCTGACCTTACAGAGAAGGGGGATGAAGAGAAGCTTCCATTCCTCCACGAAACAAGCAGCCTCGGCCCGCAGGGGTTGTGCCAGGGGCACCCCGCTCTTCCTGCCCGAGGTGCCCACCTGCCCTGCGGCTCCCTTAACGACCCACGAACAAAGTACACCAAGAGCAGCTTCCTTTTTTTTTTCAATTTAATTAAGGTTACTTAGAAAAATAATCAATGGGCTCAAATGGCTTTTCCTGGAGGTTCATGACCAAGTCCCTCCTCGATTGGCTGCGTGGGATTCAGCTTTCCTGATGGCAGACCAAGACACGGGTGTCCCTGCAGCAGGCCCTGGGCTGCATACAAACACAGGCAGAACCCCACTCTGTGAAGAAGGTAGGTTACCGGTCCACCTAGAGCCCTCTGGAAAATGTAGCGGCGCCTCTGTGCCCACAGGGAAGCTGTCCCCCAAGCTGCTGTGGCCCAGTCATTTCCAGGGCTGCAATGAGAATGGCTTCAGGAGCTGGCGGTGGGCACTTGGGTATGGTGTGGTCAGTCCAGCTGACAGAAGTGGGAAGGGGGCATTGGTGCTATGCTGCCTAGGAGGGGGGCCAGGATCATCGCGCGCGTGTGTGTGTGTGTGTGTGTGTGTAAGAGAGAGAGAGACAGAGACAGAGACACAGACAGACAGACAGACAGACAGACAGACAGACAGACAGACAAAGACAAGACAAGGCAGGACAAGACAAACAGATACCCTGGGCAGAGGAAGCACAGGGCTGCCTGGGAAAGCAAGCAGAGGTGCTCTGCTATTTGGTGGGTTAGCACAGCGACTTTTGCACGTGTCCTCTCAGCTGTGGCCCAGTGACCACTGGCTCAGCGCACTGGGGACTCACACACTGGCCCTGGGGAGCACAGCTTTGTCCCTGTGCTTCCACACCTTGCTCCCAGGACCGTACTCTTCTGGGGTCCCCGCACCAAACACACAGGGGAGGAGGCTCACCAGTGGCAGGAATGGGTGCTCTGTGGGTGGCCCTGCTCCCCAGACCAGCTGGGGCAGGCTAAGGGGTCTGGAGAGGCCACAGGACTCAAGCCCACAGACGATTACCTGGGCGTCTGCAGTAGAGGGAAGGGCTGGGGGCTGGGGGCTGTCCTCGGCCTGTCTTGCTCTGTTTCCCCGACAGGGCCTGGCCCCTCAGATACAGCAGCTCTGCGAGGACAGAGCAGCTTGGCCCTTTGGCGACGCCATGCCCGAGCTCCCAGCGGGACGCTTCTCCACCAAGGACACAGCCCTGTCTGCCCTCCTCAGACACAGCTGGGTCAGGTTTTTCCAAGAAATGTTTATGTTATGAGAAAATAAAATGTGAGCCCAGAACAGAACATGAGGAGAACGGGCCCCTCATTTCTGGAGAGAGAAGCCAACAAAAGGTGGTCAGTACTGAGCTCTCAGGTAGGGGACCCAGGCGGACCCACAACAGGAGCCTAGGGGCCGGGGTGCGTTTCCACGTGGCAGGGACAGGGGCTGTGGGGTCTTGCGTCTCCCCATCCCTCCACTGGAGACCTCCCAGGCTCTTTGGGAGGGACAGAGCTACTGCCTGCATATGCAGGCAGGGGCCAAACTGGTTCCCTTAAGTTTCTCTGGGGCTAGCAGCCCAGTGGAGGCCCTGCGGCTCCTTTTGTTTTGCTTGTTTGTTGTCTTGGGGGTGGGAGGCAGTTTTAACCTTACAGGCCTCAGATAATGCCGTCATCCCAACCAAAGTGCACTGGGACATGTGGGCCCTCTGAGGTGACCCGCACATGCAGGTTGTGCTGTCCACCTCGGGGTGGTCTTGGGGATGTGGAAAACCCAGCACATGTTCGAGGTTCTGGTAAGTCCTCCAGAAAGCGGACTGACCCTGGTTCGCTTCCCAAGGACTCTTCATCTCCCCCCGCCCCCCTGGAGAGCCCAGCTTAGGAGGCGCCACGCAGCCTGGCCATGGGCAGGAGCCCCGTTTCTGAGATGAACTCTGGCTCTCTGTTCCAGGGCCTGGCCTGTCTCCTGGCTTGGTCACAGACACCAGCCATCGAGGGCATGACTTCCACGCCTGCCATGAAGGGCACAGAGGCTGGAGGAAGCTCGCACTGTAGAAATAGCTCAGCCACCTTCCTCAGAGTGCCCCCAGTTCCTGCTAAATAAAATCATTTCCTCAGTGAGACAAGAGTTTCCTGCTGCTCGCTGGCTCGCTGCAGGCCTGGCAGTACAACCTCAGTCTTCACTGTGAATGAATTATTCATGTCTGCTTGTCCAGCATAGCCTCGTCCCTTCACTGAATACTGTACCCAAACCAGCAAAAGCAAAGCTAACCCACACCCCGCCTACCCGCCCCTATTATTAGCACTACTATTATTTATTATGTACAGTATCTGCTATAGGCTCATTTACTAACTGCCCAGGGATGTGGCTCTAGTTCTCCCCGAGAGGCCTGGGAAGAGTCTGTGAGCGAGGTGGCTTTGGGTGGCCTTCGGCAAGGAGCAGAACTCGGCCTCTTGCCAGGAAGTGATGGCTAAGAGCGAAAAGCCATCCCCACCATTCCCCCAAGGTGCCAATGGAGGCTGAGCCTTGGCCTTCACTGTGACCCTGGATGCCAGCATCTCACTTTTATATGCTGGGGAGGAAGCCCTTCTGGGTGGGGCCCTGGAGTTGGGCTGGAGGGGACAGCAGCAGGTGCCGGGCGACGGCCCCTCCCAACCTGAGGCTGATGCCACTGAGTAAGAGCGCATGCCTTCGCCTGGCCTGCTGTGTGGTTTTCACCTCTGAGCCACAGGGCAATGCACATACGTGGGGGCACAAACCACGCAGGCTGGTCCTGCAGAGTCCGAAGCTCTGGCGCAGCCCGTGGCCACAGGGGCTTGCTCCCTGCTGAGCTCACGCAGCCTTCTCGAGGGCCAAGACTGTGGCTACTCAATGCTCTCTGCCGGGCCCACACAGGGGCCTAGACTATAGTAGATGCCCAATAAATAACCATGGCTCTAAGGCGACAGCCACTTGGCCTTCGCAACTGGCACTGCCAGTTAAAAATTCCCCTTAAAAAGCCCGCTCCATCAGACTGCTAATCCTCGTGAAAAACTGCTACACTCAGCTTCTCTGTGGGGTAAAGAAAAACCACATTTCCTTAGTGCGAGGGACACTCGGTCGACCGAGAGTATCTGGAGTTCGTCCCGTGAAGGTGCCCCTCTCTAAGCACGAGCGCAACCGATTTCCTTCTGGCAGAGTTTTGAGAAAGGTGGCGCCGCGCACGTCACCAGGACTGTGCCTGCCGGAGCCGAGAGCTGGCTCGGAGAAGAGCGCCAGGCCCTGAGCCGGGGCGCGGAGCGGGCACCGCGGGCTCCTGCCGCAAGAGCGCCGGCGCGCCGCTCCCACAGAAATCAATCTATACGGAGACTGCGTTTAAATAACTATAAATAATATTAGACTTTATGGAATGCACACTTCGTGGGATTCACCGAGACACGAGGACAGCGGCCGGCGTTGCGCTCCGGACGTAGGCCCAGATGGGGACACCATCCAGGCCTCCGCCAAGACAGCTGTCCGTCCTCGCCAAGGGTTCTTAAATAATTCTCACCATGCCGCTCGCAGCATCTTCCCTCAAAGAAATATTAATTTACAAAATAACCCAATATCCATAGAATTCTTTTGACAAATAAAAAAATCTTAAATTAAAAAGCACGACTCTCTCCCTCTCCCCGCCCCCGTCTGCCCCACCCCCCTTTCATTCCAATTTCAGGTAGCTCGGCACTGAGTAATTGAACATTAAAAAGTCGAGTTTGTAGACCTCGTAGAGCTGCGTCTGGTGCTCCGAGCTGATGTTCTGGAAGAACTCCGTGGTCATTTCGTCAGTAGTTCGCGTGGACTTGGCGTAGGTGGGGAACTTGAGGTGGCTGCTCACGCCCGCCAGCTGCAGCACGAAGTTGGCGTCCTCCTCCAGGGTCTCGTACTTGCCCACGAGGTCGTAGTGGATGTGGCACGGGTGGCACAGGGAGTACACTGTCTGCCAGTGCTCATTGAAGGGCTCCTCACGCTGGGTGTGCGGGTCGATGAGATAGGCCACGAACTCCTCAAACTTGACGTCGTCGCCCCTGCGCAGCGCCTCCTGGGTGGCGTTCTTCCGCTGGCGCCGGATGATCTTGGTGCCGTAGCGCTTGTGGAAGGAGGTGTTGTACTTTTGCGTGAACTTGTTGCGGTAGGCAGACACCAGCCTCTCAAAGGGCTCACGGACGAACAGGAACTTCAGGTAGCTCTTGAGGCGGTGGTTGATCTCGGGGATGCTGTACTGGTTGAGGGTCTTCAGGTTGGCCGAGACGTGTGCCTCGCTGGCTGGGATCTCCATGGGGTCACTGTACTTGCCCCGTCCTGCCAGCACCATCATGAGCCGCTTCCAGTTGGTGCATGCCACCTTGGGCACGTAGCAATAGATGAGCTCGTGGTCCTCGTCCACCACCAGGTGCTTCAGGTCGCTGGGCGTCAGCACCCGCCGCTTGCGGCTGGTGGCACTGTTGGCCCGGCACGTGTCGCTCACCTGATCCCGCCGCATCTGGTGCAGGACAGCGGTGTTGGAGAGCTCCAGCTGCAGAGGGGACAGAGGGGAAAGGGTCAGTGCTCATCTGGAACATTGCCACGTGACTGCAGGGGACCATGGATCTAGCCACACAAACATGCATGCACGAGGCCCTCCTCTGCCAGGCAGTGGCAGCCGCAGGCTTGACAGGGCAGGAGACTGCTGAGGGAGGTGTTTGTGCTCCTCTGAATCCTCACATTCTCCCCAGAGGCCCCAGAGCAGTCCATGCCGGTCCTCCTGGAACATTGTGCCCTGCCCCGCTGCAACCTGGGTCTCCAGGACCTAGGGATGCAACACCTGCAGGAATGGTGCCCTCACTGTCACCCTAGTGCTCCCCTGTGCAGGGTGGACTTTCTTTTAATAGGAAAGGAGCCGATGTGAAACTAGAGGGGCTGGGGCTGTGCTGTCCTGGTTTCCAGCTTACCCAGCACATAGCCTCTATCGGGGCTGGGCTTGCAGGCCACTGAGCTGTGGACAGGCTCCTAGCTGCACGTCCCCGGGTGTCCTTGTGGAGCAGCTGTCCTCCACCAGGCCTCCTGCCATGCCCTTTCTGCCCCAGAGCCCTGGACCATTAACTGTGCCTTCTAAAGCCTTAAGCTATATAAACCTCTCTTTACCCTGTGGGCCCCAGGCCCTGCGTCCCCACAGCAGAAGGCAGCCACCACTTGGGTCTTTTGGCCTTCTCCATGCCTGGTAACAGCACTTTTCCAGCACCCACCCACTCCTTCATAATAAAAGGCATTCCTGGGAAGCCACCGAGTTATGCTGTGCTTCATGCCCCCATCTTTCCTTGGGCGGGCCACCTCGGATCCTCCCGTGTCTACCTCTTCAGGTATAGGGTGACAACCCTCCTGACCCCACACACTGCCTTGCCACTGGGAAGAACCTCACCTGCCCCCAGAGCTACAGTCCACTGGGCTGCACCGCACAACTCCCCCCTACTTGACACTTGCTTTCCTCAATTGGGGCAGGGCCCACCGCTCCACAGGAACTGCTGATAGTCTACCCACAAGACTCTGGGTGGCCTCAGGGGGCAGGAGGGTCAGGGAGGGTGGGGCCCAGGAAGCTAGCCCTGCACCCCACATCAGAGCTCCGTGCCTGCCCCTCTTGTGGCCCCCAGGACGACAGCCATGGTGAGGATGGAAAAGTGGGACAGGCATGGCCAGGGTGACGAAAGTGATGTCCCCAGTCATCCGTCATCCTCTCCTGACCATCACTTGGACAGTGGCAGAGCAGTGACACTTTGCAAGGCCCCTGAGGGGACAGGAATTGACTGTCTCAGGCCTGACACATTGCTGGTGGCGGTGGAAGGAGCTGCGGGTGGCCCACACCTGCACCCTGCAGCTGGGCATGGAGGCGCCGTGCAGGACTCATGCAGGCTGCGCCTGGCCTGGCAGCAGCAGGTGGAGACGGCGGGGACCAAGGTCAGGGCCCAGCATGAAGCTTGGGTGCCCGCCCTCCCTCCTGCTGTGCCACCGAGGCAGGCGAGCTGTGGAAGAGCCTAGTCTCCCACCAGGGACACAGCCCCAGGTTCGATCCATGGCGAGAACGTCCAACGGTCCATCCACAGAACCCGGCACAGCCACGGCACCTGTGGCTGCTTAAAACCACCAAGCTTTGGGGTGGTTTGTTACCCAGCAGGAGGGAGGAGGCCAGCGAGGGTGGCGATGCTGCTGCCACGGGTCAGGCTCTAGAGACACCGGGCAGCATGCACGGGCTATGCGTCTCCACCTCAAATGCTGTATAGTCTGAAAACTGTCCAAGCAGCACTGTGAGTCCACAGGTGGAAAAACTCCACACTTGGCCTCAGGTAAGGGGCGCAGTCAAACCATGAGCTGGAAATACTGTATAAACCCCCCCCCCCAGCATGCGCAGGAACCCGAAATGACTTCCGTGTGTGGAGTTGAGTCCCACCCACAAGGTGGCTCACGATGCCAAGCAAATACGCCCAAATCCCACCACAAAATCCCAAATCCGAAACACTTCTGGACCTAAGCCTTGCAGATCAGGAACATCAATCTTTGTATTTTAACATCTGCTTGGCCAGGGAGAATTTCCAAAATTGAGAATGGTAAGCAAATTACTGACATGGGTTATCCACAGGCCCATGCCCCCAGTCAGCACGCTGTCCCCACACAGGGCACACGAGGGGCTGGTGTGTGCAGAGACCTGGGCCCCAGTGCAGAACTCACTGTCCCTGCCGCCACCCTTCCCGCCCTCCCCGGAAAGAGGGCCTCTGATGGCTGGGCACCTGCCACTTCCACCCTGGGCTCCGTCCAGCTGGCACAGGGGTGTCGGGCGGTGGCTGCGCTCGGATCGAGTCCCACAGAGAATCTGCCCTTGCCTGGGGGCAGTGCCTGGGCCCCAGATGAGGCTGTGCCTCAGAGGCTCAGCTCGCAGTGGCTGGTCACCTGGCACAGGCAGCATTACCCCCTTCAAAGAGCAAGGGTACAGTCAAAAAAGGTCCACACGGGGGTCCTGACATCCGGGTCCGAGAGCCGCTCCCAGCCCGTCGGCGGGCTCAGCAGCCCCACTGTGCCCACAGGAAGTAGGCCGTGATGGGAGCGCTTCTGTGGTTCATGCCACGGCTCACGCTTTTCAGACCTCACTGGCCAGTGCCAGCACCGTGAAGCCAACGCGTTGCCCTCCCAGAGCCCGAGCAACAGTGCGTCCAAAAGGACGGCATGCAGTAGCAGCTCAGTAAGCCTGCATTCAATGGCTGAACAGATGAGTTACTAATTCTCTAGAGTGACCTGGGAGGAAGCAGGAAAGCCCTTCCTAATGTGCTCCAGAGACCCCCCAGAGGTTCTCCGGTATCTCTCAAAGCTCTTGAGGAGGGCCACATGGGGCAAACGGTGTCCTCTGAAAGTCCACGTTCACCCAGGGTTCTGGACTGTGGCCTTCCACGGGAAGAGGGTTTGTGCAGATGGCATTAATGAAGAGGAGGTCCTGCCGAGCTAGAGTGGCTGTGGACCGAGAGATGGTGTCCTTGCAAGAACAGAACATGGGGACACAGCCGCCAACAGGAGCGGGCGTTGCCAAACACTGCAGCAACCACAGGAAGGAAGAAAACACGAGAAAGAAGGCCAGCAGCCTCAGAGACGAGCTTCGCCAGATCCACAATTCCCCACAGGTCAGCCCTCAGCCACTGAATTCAATTAATATTCATTTCATGCAGGAAAACCGACCTCTGGGTTCCCCGAACGCTTAGCACCCTGAAGAGGGTGTTCAGGGCTTCTTGAGTTTCTCAGCAGTGACACCGCTGAAAGAGAAAGGAGACCACTGTCCCGGTGGCCGTGGGCGGGCGACCCTGAAGCATAACCCTCCCAGCCAGCCACCTGCTCCTTTTGCTCACAGCTCTCCTCAGCTGGAGACCCGTCCTGGCCACCTGAGGCCCCAGGGAGGCCCTGTTTCAGCTGAGTGCATGCCAGGCCACACCGGGGGTGGGAGGAACAGAAACGACACCGCCCACCACCGCGTGCCTCAGCGTCCTCTCCTCACTTGCAGAGGCAGAAGGGCAGCCCAGCGGCTTGGCAGAGTGCAGTCCGCTTTCCTTCTCTTTCTTTTCTGTTTGCTCTTCCAGGGCAGCTTAGAAGGGTGATGGTGCACTGCCGCCGCTGGTCTGGAATTTGTGATCTTCCTGCCTCAGCCTCCTGAGTAGCTGAGATTACAGATGTGTGCCTGGGGACCCAGCTGAAGTGTTCCATTTTTTAAAGAGCTACTTAGATTTTTCCCTAATTTTTATTTGTAAATAACTTCGGACTAGGGTTGACTAATCAAAGATATAATTTAAAAATGCACAGCTATATAGCTAAGCACCCAAACTCAAGACCAAATGCATGCATACATTCAGACAATGAAATCTTCCAGAACTAAAGACCTGCTTGGCCCGGGTGGTGCTGCCAACAGCTCAGGGCACAGAGTCCCTGCTCCTGGGCGGGAGGAGTCTCGGCCTTGCCACGCATCCCTCCTGTGTGTCCCCTCAAGCCCTGCAGGTCCCCTCCTGTGTGAGCACAGGGCTGCGATGTCCTCTCTGCGGTTTCTGAGGGTGTGGCAAGTGGAAGCTCTTGGTTCTGGGGTGCAGGCCTGGCATCCAGCGATGGGCCCACTGTAGGGCCCACCGTCACCCCGCAGTCTCCTGGGGTTGCCCCCTGTAGAACTAAGCCCCCATGTGAACACCCTTACTTTTACTGACTCTGCTCTTTAAAGAGCCCGCCTCCAAAGACAGACACATGCGAGGCTCCTGGGGACTCGGAATCCCACAGCAGAATCATGTGGGGGCGGCGCCCAGGCTGCTGGGGCTGAGACCACACGTTAGAAGCAGAGCTCTGGCTGCGGGGAAATAACTATGATCTCGTCTCTCTTCGCTTCTCAGCTCTCCCTAATTACAGAACACAGAACCTGGGCTCGCCATCTGCAAGGGGCGCTCCCGGATCTCCCTGCCGCAGTCTCCCCGCAGGATAAGCGCGGTCAGTGGCTGGCCCTGGATTCCCATTTGTACATATTTAAAGGGAACTATAATTAGTTTTAAGTACCAGATTTAGGGAGTGTTTGAAGAAGTCTAAGTCTTCCTAGGCTGCATCTTAAAAGGGTGCACTGGTTTCTGCAAATGTCTCCTGGGTCATCTGTGGTCTGGCTGGACACAGGTGCCCCACGGAAGGGAGGGCAGTGGCCATGCACCTACCCAGTGGAGGTGAAGCTGGACACATCTGAGCTGGGGCTGTCACCTTCTGCCCTGACAACTGTCACTGGCCTGATCATAGTCTCTCTGCCAGGAAATCTGAATAGAACCCCCCAGCAGTTCCACTGCCCGCGCCTGCAGGCTTCACATTGGAGGAGGGGCAGAGAGCACTATACTACTTCCTCCCCTCCTCTCCTGGGGGTACCAGGACAGGGTCTTCACACTGGGCCACATCCCTACCTTTTAAAACATTTGCAACTTGCTAAATTGCACAGGCTGAGCTCGAACTTGCAGCCCTCCGGCCTCAGCTGCCCCATTCCAAAGCTCT